TATATATATATATATATATATATATGTTAGTATATATTTTATTTTATTGTTGTATGTATAACATTGTTTTGAAATTGCTCCGATAACAATAAAGTTAATTTTACATTTAAAAAATTATTATTATATTATAGCAAGATACCTGTGTCGCTGCCCACAAACATCTGAATTACCCAAAGTACTCGACTCGAACGCGCGTGCCTTTATTATAATTTGAGAAGTACCTGTATGAGAAAAAGCGTGCAAAGATACGATTGGGTTTCGGCACATGAAGTAGTATTTTCTATGGTATATCACAGCGATTAATTAGATTGATGGTGATGAATTTTACTATATAAGAGTGTCACATCCGGCAATCTAGACCCTGTGGCTTTCAGAGACAATGGAGGCCATTTTTGGCTCTAACTGAAATCACGTCCGCCGTTGCGTTATGCAGGCGAGGGATAATCAGGGCGGTCGGAACCGCAAAGGTTGGCCGGAACACTTTTTCTCAATATATGGATACCTATAAAATAATTATATGAATTTATTATTAAAATTCGCATCACATTGTCTGTTACATTGTCTGCAAAGTTACAAGGGCTAACCTGCAGTGCAAAGATACTTGATATAAAGATTGAAGAAAAAAATATATCTTTTTATTTTTCTCGCTTTTAAATAAGCCGAGAAAAGGTTAGAAAACAATAAATAAGCAAAAAAGAAAACTCTAAAACAGGTGCAAAATTAATGTATTTCATCATCGAGTTTTAGTTATAATTTTTTACTGGTTATTGTGCGATTTAAAGAAATTATCTGAAGTCTGGGATGAAGAAAAAGTTTATTAAATAATATACTTTTTATTATTTTATTTAGTATTAGCATTTTTTAATGAACCATTTTAAAAGGTGTTAAGCTGCCATATTTATCGGGTAAGTATTTTGCATGATCACAATTATACATTAGTCTAATGATGTCAGGTGTTATTTTATACTTATATAAAAGTAACATAAAAGATAAGTGTTGACTGTTCAGTGGTCAATCCGATAAATAAAAAACACCAATTCAATAAATATCAAATGTGCTTTTTCTTTTGGTCATAAGAAAATAAATGCTTATGCCTATTATTATTATGGTCAGTCCAGCTCTCTGAGAACATCTAAAAATTCAAGACTAAAAAAATCGAAAGATTTATTGTCAAAATAGTATTTAACAAAAGATCGGGACCCCTGCTATTAAACTAACCCATCGGTGGTACACATCTTAGCTGACATGGTCAGTCAAAAAATCGAAAGATTTATTGTCAAAATAGTATTTAACAAAAGATCGGGACCCCTGCTATTAAACTAACCCATCGGTGGTACACATCTTAGCTGACATGGTCAGTCAATTTGCATGCGTCAATGCCCCCCCCCCCCGACTGTACTTTTGAACCAGGGCCCCCTCACAACCTAGTTACTCCACTGTGTGGAAGAGCATTAGTCAACAATAGTATATGCACGGTAATCCTATAAACCATGCCTTCTGTGTCATTTCTAGCTCAACAACAAATTACAAGGTGGTGTATTTTAATACAACCACAATGATCTGACATGCACCATACCACCATGCGTATACAATCATTCGACTTCAGTGGAGTACACTTTTTTTTTTAAGAAACAGTAAAATTTTGCTCAGGCTCAGTGTTCGTGTTGTTTGCCAATTTCAGGCTCAAAATGTTCTTATTCTGTTCTTAGTTTTACACACTTTACAAACGTGGACAATTATTATTGTACAGCAGTATATTACTGTATTACATGTATTATAGAGGGTATTAGTATTACATTCACACCTACTTCAAATAAGGTACGGATAAGATAGGCCTATGGTTTTTCTATTTTGTTTTTTTTTGGTTTGTTTTTTTTTTTTCAATCCTCATTTGAAATTTTACCAGCCTCAATTTTTTCTTATTTTGTTCTGATTTTTTTTGGCAATGTAAGCCTCAATGTTCATATAAATTGTGTTCTTATTAAAAAAAAGTGTAACCTCACTATTGCATGATACATAGTTACAATTGTATTGTATTCTTTGTGTTTTGTGTTTTTTTTTGTGTGGAGATATTGGCCCAACGTGGCACTTGCAGCAATAAAGGAAATGGAAAGGTTAATTGAAATGATTGCTATCGGCGAACCGTGCAGCCGAAATCCGTCTCGCTGTTTCGTTCCATTCACTGTCAATTGATAATGTTGTCTATGTAAGTAATAAATTAGGATTAATATTTTCTAGTACTAACATTATTCACAGCTCTCGCAACTGGTCTATCCTATTGTTTAAAGAAGCTATGTCACCTACTAGAGGTAATGTTTTGATTGGTCAAACACTTTTGGTACTTGTGCATATAAGCTTGCAAATATGGATAATTTTTCATTCCTGATGATGCCATAATTAATGTAGAAATATTAAATCCTGAAACGACGGCTTGCATTTCGATACTTGGAGATGTATTATACTATCTTATCTGCGATTAATCAGTGGGCCTTTAAACTCATTAAAAAAGTCTAGCGAAAAACAAAAATGAAATTATACAGTAAATAATGGGAAAAAAATTATGAAGTTGTTTTCTCCCCGACGAAATGTGCTTTTCCTCCCCGACGGGTGGACCCTGCCCCCCCCCCCCCCCCGGCGGGAGATGGAGTTCCGTGAAATTAGGAAGATTTAAATTTTCGGAAAAGGGATTCCATGTAGCGGAGAATAGAATAAAAATAAATATAAATTTTTATTTTTATTTCTTTTTTTCAATTTTTCATGGCGGCTCGTACGCTAACACACTTATAATAAAATTTTATTTTTATTTTGAAATACACAATTTCGGAATCGGAGGGTTAGCTAAACAAGGTATAAAAAAGTCTCGCCTTATTTAAAGCACTAAAAATGTATATTTATTTATACTGTAAAAGGGCCTGAGGCCTATCACACTACGGAACAGCTACAGCTACGGAAAAATTAAAAGGAGAAATAACATAAATATTGACACTGACAAATTGAATAAACACTTTACAGATATTGGATAAAATAGTCTACCCACTTGGAAACCCCCTACTGTCTGTATGAAACAAGACAGCCTGCATTAAACAAACTTTTAAAATTGCCTGATAAAAACCTAGATGTAATTGAATTTGACAGTTAGATTACATAAACTAGCTATTATATCTCAAACATTATCGAGTTCATATTCTCTTCAATTCCTCCATTGCTAGTGTATTAATCTATAATTTAGTTTTCACAGATGAAAAATAAATGATAATAGGCCTACATTGTTGTGAGATAGAGATAATGCTTATGTGATGTGCCCATATGTTCACACGATGATGTCATATTATACCCAAATATGGGCATATCATATGTACTTGTTGCTCACAATTTGTTAGTGTGGACAGTCCTTAAGAATATACAGAACTATAAATATCATTGATGTAATATTTTTTTGTGTATGACTATTAATAAATGATATTTCGATATCCCAACACCGTGTGCCTACTTACGCCTTAATGCAGAGGCGGATCCAGCGGGGGGGGGGGGGGGGGGCCCGTCCCCCCCCCCCCCACACCGTCAGTCAAGCCAAAAAATAAAAAGAGGGAAGGAGGAAAAAGGGAGTGGGCCAGCAATGGGCGAAGAGAGCTCTATTGTTTACTACTTATTTTCACCAACCATAGTGAGGCTGAGGTCATTTTGTCTCTGTATTCGTACATGATAATAAAAAGGTAGTTAATAACGATTTCTTTCAACTTGGCATTCCATGGTCAGATGAACTCCAAGAATAATTTACAAACTCACACCCACAAGCATTATCCTACTGTACATGTTTACTTTTCAACATTATGAACAAAGTAAATCAAAACAAAGAAAATGTTCCAAAAATTATAAATATAATCAATTTCATTGAGAAAACAAAAAAGTGTAAAAATTAATCTTTTTAAATAAGCCTACAATAAATTACACCTGGTTGGTGAAATCATTGTTTTAATTCACTTACAATATATTGATTTTGATTACCATTATTATTATAGCACCAGGCATACATAGGCTAATATAGTTCGCCTGCAAATTATTAACCCATAAGGCATGAGACCTAATTGAATGATGCTCAGAAGCACAGGTACCTGTACAAATAATCTTTATTCCAATTCTGTAATACTTAACGCAAATATAATTTTGCTTATCATTATGAAAAATTCAAATGACAGTGGCCATATTTCGATCTCAAAGTTACAAGTGATCATTGTAAAGAATACTGCAAATGTATTTGCTTATCATGACACCACTGTTTGTTTTTACTGCTGCTTACGATTACAGATAACATGAATCAATAACAAGGGCTTTTCAAATAATCAATTTGAGAATTTGACGGGCACTGCCTACCCATAAAATCACATCAATTTTTATAACTTTACTAGATGACTAATCCAAAGTAAATTTACACAAAAGGAGGTAAATGAAAAGTACATTTAACCCTTGTAATGTGACAAAGTACTGTACTGTATATATATACAGTATTTAATATATATATATACAGTATTTAATACTAATAATATTAATTATATAAACGGTGGCAAAAACGAGCGGTGGCTGAAATGGCCTGTTTAAAACTCATGCTACTACGAATAGCAGTAAATAATGTACAAGGCTTATCCACATTATTCTTGTGCAAACCAATTCCCGTTTTTTCTGTCCTCGGTCAGTCAATCAGTCAATTAATCATAACTCTTTGGTAACATATTATAAAATGGAAAAAAGCTTCTTTGTAAGTAGAATAACATTTAAAAAATAAGCAAACGTACTTACCTATAAGGATCTTCAAAAATTAAACTCGCGGTGGACTATGCATTCGCCTTCGTCTTTACAGGATGTGTTTATGCCTATTTATTGAGCATGCGCAAGGCATTATTCCTCCATGGCTATGAGTTGTAGAAAAGCGGCGCTTTACGTCGATCCAGTTTTGCAAACACCTCGATCCAAGGTATTGCAGTGGTGACTTGTTCAAAGTTACGAGATTACACTAAGCATTTGAACTAGAATTAGAATGACGTAACTTTAACGTGTATTCAAATACCTATTTTAGAATAAATTAGTGCTACGATATCAAACTAAGTATTTGACCTTAGACTGTTTTAGAAACTAGAATTTGAATTACGTAACTTTAACGCGCCAACAAGTTACGACACGACTATCAAATACCTATTTAGCAGTGGCGTAGAAAAATATTTTTCATTGGGGGGATGATTGGCGTGTTAGCCAGTGTCGTAACAGGCGCGCATGGGGGGGGGGGAACTGCCCCTCCCCTGACGGTTTTTACCGGGCTGACCAAGCCGTCGTACCGGCGGGCTGGGTAATAAGAAAATGAAAGAGGGGAGAGGGAGAGAAAGAGAAAGAAGAGGAAAAGAAAAGGAAAGAAAGAGAGAAGAGAAAAATAAAGACAAGAATAAAAAGGAAGATATCATAATGACCAGATTCACAACAACCTGCAATCCCTTATCCACTTCAAAAACTGTCATAACTCCTTTGATCTATGCTGCCCGATGGCGTAACCACTGGGGGACAAGGGGAAAATATCTATCTTCGAAAAATCTTTCCCACCCCTTTATAAATGCCCTTTTCATCCACTGAAAGTGCCTAAAAACCTCAAATTGCGCGCGCTTCGCGCGCATTTCTTGTTAGCACGGGCCAATTTCCTCTAAGAATTGCACATTTTAGGAAGTTTTGATCAATTCCAACGAAATTACAATTAAAAACACCGGGGGACAAGGGGAAAATATCCATCTTTGTCAAATCTTTCCCCACCCCTTGACAAATGCATCCTCTGAAAGTGCCTAAAGTTCTCAATTTCTTTGCGCGTATTTCTTGTTACAGTAGGCCAATTTCCTCTATAAATTGCACATTTTTGGGAGTTTTCATCAATTCCGACGAAATTAGAATTTAAAACACAAAAATATTTTGCGCGCCTCGCGCATTTTTTAAGGCTATTTTTTAGGTTTATTCTTTTAAGTTATTTAAACACATAATAGTCTTAAACTCAAGAAAGACAAAGTTAAGATAGATCGTTTTAACCTAAAAGAAGAGCCTCAATGTGTATTGATGGTGAAAGAATATGTTTGTAATAAATAAAACCATGATGAAAATGCTTATATTTAGTTTCAAACACACGTGTGTGGCCTATATTATAAATCAAATAAGCCCTATGTCGTATTGTTTTCTATATGGGGAGTGGGGTGGGTTGGGTATGGTAAATTACTAACCGGGAAAATAAATACCCACTCCGACCCAAGACCCCTGTTACGCGCCTGGTGTTAGCGCCAATGTGTGCCCTTGTGCGGACAGGGGATGTGCCCCCTCTGAAGCT